TTAAATTATAAAAAAATTGGATAAAAAAATTACACAAAAAATGAGGAATTTCAAATAGTTAATTTGATATTAATATCGATATATTTTTATCAAATTTTTATGATATCGTCAAACATATATTTTATTCAAAAATAAAAACATCATCGTTTTTTCAAAATCACATAATGCCATATTATAACATCGACTGAGATAAAAAATAAAATGAAATATTAAAATCACGATGTATCTCGCTGCATTGCGCGAGTACACTTCTAGTATAGTCTTGATATTTGAGATAATATTGAGCATAGAAACTCAAATTCCCTAGTATATTCTCATGAGTGGTTGCTTTAGTTGGTTTGTTTGTTTTCTGGATTTATATTATATTAGTTGTGTATTTGTGCAATGCGGTGAGAGCCATGAATTTTAACGATTTTAAAGTTCCACTGGTTTTATAAGATAAGATTTAACGATGATATAGGTTACACTTAGTTTTTACATATTAATACAATTTGAATAAATAAGAGTTATGGTTCCAATTACAGACTATCGATGAAAAAAATGTATGACAGTTTAAAATCCAATATATTTAAACGACTCCACAAATGTGTTCGATTTACACCAAGAGCAAAGAACCAAGAAACTTGAGTTTTAAGATAAACACTCAAAACCAATAAAGAAAACTACAAATTTAACAGATCATAAGCCATGAAAAGACCAAAAAAGATGAGTTTTAGAATAAAATTTCAACTGTTTACTCTTTTTTTTGTTCAGAAACTCAGATTAAGGTTGAATTAATACATGAATATATATATATATATATATATATATATATATATTTCAAAAAAACCCAAGAACATATTAATTCAAAACATATTATATAGTACAATTTGGACAGTCTAACCCCAAAATATATTGTATATATATATAACTATAAAAGTATAAATCGTAAATATTAAAAATATTTTTCACAGTATATATAATATATAATAATATAATTAAGTAAAAAACTATTCAATATTGGACTCATTTCGAAGGTATTAAAGAGACGATTGTAATGGTGTAACTTGTTAAAATAAGATTATATTTTTTAAACATGTTTTAATTGATATACAATTATGTATATTAATTCAATAAAGGTTTAAAATGAAACATTTAAAAGTAAAAAACGTAAAGTAAATTAATTAACTAATTATAAGAGTATAAAGTGTAAATTTAAAATTATAATTTAAAAAAATCGGTTATAAAAGGAATCTTGATCATTTAGTATTTTAAGACTTTTGTTAAATTTGCTTTATAAGATAGTATAGATAATTGGACCCAAAAATATCACAATACGGAAAGAAGAAAAAAAAATATTCATTCAATAAAAACTGTGAAGATTTAGGAGTTAGGAGTCTTTAGACCATTTAAAATGGTTCAAATACTTTCACAATTTGATAATTCAAGTAAGAACATGAAGTTTAACATAAAATTACGAGTTGTTGTTTTTATATCTATATTATTAATCGTATTTGTAACGTTAAAGATTTTTAATGTCATATAGAAGTTTTTGGTCCAATTCAAAGCTGTATGTCTTTTATAGTTTGTCACTTCTATGTGTTATCATCGATGATTGCTTTATTCGGGTCCATTAGTTTGTTTTCTAGATTTATAATCACGTCATTTGAGAACCAAAAGCTATCGACAATATAGAAAAGAAAACATCCATTAAATCCAAATTATGGACCATTTATTCTATTCTTCAACTTTGTCTCATATTTCTTTTGCCAAGTTCTTATGAAAATTCGACATATGGCTACATTAGTTTAGCATGCGTTAGAGTTGGATTTGATTGGTCCATAAACTTCAGATTTTACATATAAAAAATAAATCAATGAAAAACATGATTATATTCATGATTTACGTGTAATGGTGTTAGGAGCTCTTTACTAAACGTTTACCCAAGGAAGTACGTACCACGTCACATTACCTTACGAGATGAATATGGTAAGGACTAAAAATCTTACCTGATAAGAGCGAGGCAAGGACCAAGAGTCTTATCTGATAAGTGATGACGACGACTCTTACCGACTAAATTGTGACATACGATGCGGTTTCGGTGGACTAAAATCTTACCTGGTAAGTAAGTAATAGTGTTAATTTGCCAATCCATTTACGTTAGATTTTGGTAAGTAAAAAAGAGATTGATAGGTAGGAGTACATTTGGCCTACTCCTTTCCAAAATAGATAAACTTTAAGGTTAAATAAAATTTTCAAAATGTTTGCATGTAATGTGTACATATGTATATAGAGTAGGATTCACGTGAGACCAGCTTGTTTTCATGACACTCCTAAGATAATATTTTTACACTTGAATCTTCACAGCAAAATGTTGTGAAGGTAAAAGAAATCTGAAACTTTATATTCGAGATGTTAATGTCATGGGTTAAAAATCAATAAATGGAGGACTCATCAATGGCAAGCAGAGATTCATGATTAGCCTAACAAGTAATACCTGAATATTTGTAGCTTATTCATCACTTAATAATGGTGAATGTGGATAGGTTTCATTTAGGATAACAATTTTTAGAAGAC